CGAAAATCCGCCCGAAGGTTGAAATAGGGACAAAATCTGTCGCTAGAGGCGCCACCCGTCGTATTGGGGCCACAAGCCGCCGCCCTTGCTGGGCTTGTATGCGCACTGCGGCCGACGTTTCGACGCGATTATGTGCGTGCGTTTCTTCCTGTTACCTTTTTCAAACGTCTCTGAACGCATCAATGCCACCAGATAAATAAGGTTGAAACGGGATCCAGTGTCGACGATGAATGAGAGCTGTTTACTTTGGAACGCACGCGTAGTTTACTTGGAAGTGCGGACCCACCTTATAAACAGCAGCGCATTAAAAGTGTTCTCACACCGCGCGATAACGCATTGTGTTAATAATTGTCTCATAACCCAATTATATGCATACTTACGATGCCTCGAAGCGGTACTTGCGAGCTATAGCTCGCAAGTGTTGAAAGACGATGCTTATGCTCCATGCTCTTGATGCGAGCAGCTACTGCTTGATCTGCTCGACAACATGTTTGTATTTGCGCCCGCCCAAAGGGCGATTATGTTTATGCGGTAGGTGAGCTTTATATTCTGGTAGGGCCGCTTATAGGGGGAGGAAGGTGAACGAAATGAAACACGACTGGGTAGTACAGGAGCAATCACATTGGTTTATATCCGGCTCGCCTCTCGCGCGCTACTACCCAAGTATTCGAATGAACTGAATGGTAGAGCCAGAAGTTTTATTCCAGACCTTTCAATTGAGTTTATACCCAAATGCGCAGTTCTTTTGGACACACGTTTGTGAGCGCCGATCGCTTTTTTGACGCGGGGACTTTCGATGCCGAGGGCTTTCGCGACCGCTCTAAACGTGCCCAACATTTGATTGATCACTTCTTTCCACGCAGTTTATACGGGACACCCGCCGCTTGACGTTTCCTTGTGTTTACTGTCTAGGGCATTATTATTTACCGGCCGAAAACCCATGATTTCTCAGGGAACGGAAGTACAGCAGCTTAATGTAGAAGTTCCTTTCGATGCCAGTGCTAGCCGCTTGGCCGCCTCTGCCACTACCGAGATACCTCATCACACATTTGTTTTTATTTTTTGGGTGGCAGGGGGGGAAGGGCGGTTATGATTTAAGGCATTGTTATGCCTGCGAGTCCGCAGCAAACGTCCCGCCTCGGAAAAAAAGAAATCTGTGTCAAGGCCAGCACGCGAGCCCGCCTGACGCGATGAACAGCTCAATGGCGTCAACACGTGATGGCGCCTTTCTGTCGCCCACGTGCAGTGAGTCACCTCAGCAAGCGAGCCGTCGAGTAAACAACCGGCGTCTTCCTGTCTGGGGGGGGGGGGTGACGCAATGCCTGGCGACGTCAGTCGTTCTTGGGTGCAGCCGCCTGCAGCGCAGCCTCTCCAGATTCGATGAGAAAGAATGACGCGGCCCAGCGGCGACCCCATTGAAGGATTCTAACCTCACGACCAGCGGCGCTTCTGGTGCGACATTTGGGTTAGACCCGGTGCATATAAAAGAAGCCCTGCGGCGCATCGCGAGCAGCAGACCTGTGGGAGAGCAGACATGTGTGTCAGAGAAGAGAGCTATGTGATAGAGAGTTGAGCAATGTGTTAGCAGACCCATTTGAGAGCAGACCTATGTGTTAGAGAGGAGAGCTCGGCTCTTCGGGTCTCTAAGCTGTCGGCCCCAGTGCCGAATTTGTAGCGCCTTTGTATATATGCTGTACATAAACCTTGTTTAACTCACCGTCGTCTCGTCCGCTCGTCTATCGGCTCTGCGCAGAAGCAGTCGCGAGCTGGGAAACCTACGCTACCAAACGGCTGTTGTCCTTCCCTGCGGAGTTCGAAGCAGTAGCGCCTTCGGGACCGTGTTGGGGTCGCCGTTTTTCGAAATAGTGGTTGCAGCGGTGAGATTCGTAGTGCCCTTCGTAACGACGTCGGAGGCGCGCTTCGCAACAGTGGTTGGCAACTGTGGGATCGGCCGGCGTCAGCGACATCGATGCGGCGAGTGCCTGGTGTTTTCTCCTCAGTTCACCAGACTACTCTAACTCAGGTTGTAGTAGTTTAGAGAAGGGCTGTGTGAAGCATTGAAGTGAGCTTTGATCATTTCAAGCAAAGTCGAAGTGCTTTGAAACCAAAGTTAATGCGGAGGGGGTAAACACGGGAGTGTGAAAAATTGCTTGCGCGTCTTGCTAGTAGACTTATAGTGGGTACGGCAAGTAAATTGTTAACAGGGGCAAAAAGCAAGCGGCTAGTGTGAACGATGGAGAACCTTAAAGTGAAGGAACTCATCGAAATTTGTGAGGAACTCGGCATTACTTTGGGCCGTGCGAAACGAAAGCAAGCGATCCTTGAGATCATGAAGGATGAAGGAGTGTCGGCTTAGGAAGTTGATGAGGCCTGGGCGGATATCAAAGCACGCCGCGAGGAGGCTGAAAGGCGAGAAGTAGAAGCTTGCGAACGTGAAGAAGCTGAAAGGCGAGAAGTTCGCGAACGTGAAGAAGCTGAAAGGCGAGATGTTCGCGAACGTGAAGAAGCTGAAAGGCCCGAACGTCGCGAGCGTGAGGAGGCCGAGAGACAGGTAGGCCTCGAGTTGAAACGAATAGAATTGGCAATCCTACAGTGTTCGCAGGTGCCTAGCGTAGCTTCTCCGACTATTCAGGTCAGCGATTATAAATTCGGGACCAACTGCCACCATTCGTAGTAGGCGAGGACATGGCGAAGTTTCTCGTCAAGTTTGAACACGTCTGTGAGCGAAATGCTTTGAAGCGGTCTCTTCGGGCGCAGAACCTGTTAGCTCTTCTTCCCGGCGAAGTGTCCGACGCGATAACTTGCTTGTCGAGGGAAGCGTTTGAGAGCTATGACGAGGTTAAGAAAGTGCTCTTGAGACGTTATTAGTTGTCACCCGAGGCTTTCATGCAAAGGTTCCGGTATGCTAAAAGGGGGAATGAGTCACATGTTGACTTCGCGTTTCGTCTTAAAGCCAATTTATTTGAATGGCTCAAGGACGAAGGTGTCTATGACGACCGCGATAAAGTGGTGGAATGTGTTGAATTGGAGCAATTCTACCGCTGCATCGAGGAGGATGTCAAACTTTGGCTGCAGGACAAACTTGGTGAAGTACAGCTAAACAAGGCAGCAGAGTTAGCTGAGGAGTATTATACTCGCCGAAAATTGCATAGCAGGGCAGTGCGCGTAGAAAAGGATGAAAGCAAAAAGGTAGGGCACATCGCGATAAACTGCAAGCAACAGTTTGCAACTATCCGAGAATCGGAAAACAAACAGAAGCCGCGAATCTGCTACAACTGCGGAAAGGAAGGGTACATCCCGATAAACTGTCAGCAAAAGTTTGCAACTATCCTAGAATAGGAAAACAAACAGAAACCGCTAATCTGCTACAATTGCAAAAAGGAAGGGCACATCGCGATAAACTGTAAGCAAAAGTTTGCTTTTGCAACAATCAGAGAATCGGAAAAGAACATACGGTTGTTAGAGCCGTATATCCAAGAAATTATTGTGAATAGGAAAACGTGTCGAGCACTTAGAGACTCCGCGGAAACCATGGACGTTGTCCATCCTTCATTGGTGTCTCCGGTTGACTTTACAGGAGAATGCGCGTGGATCAGGCAAGTCGCCGAGGAGCAGAGTGCTTGCTTACCAATCGCCACGGTTGTCATTGAGGGCCCGTTCGGTAACCTTCGCACCGAAGCGGCTGCGTCTGCCGTGCTTCCCGATCGATTTCCTTATCTTTTTTCTAACAACTCAGAGCAGCTTCTCAAAGAGCAAGGTAAATCTTTCTTCCCCAACTTAGCGTACATGGCCCTCACGCGATCGCAAGCGCGGAAGCTTTCGCAGGCGCTTGATCTTGTTCAATGCGGTGAACTCTCAAGTGACCTTGTTGGCGGGTCGACGGAATCTCTGAGAGGAAATTTTCCGCGTGAGTCATGTGAGCAGTCATGCGAGCGGCCCGTCGCCGAAGCGACCGGCGCGGTTTCCGTAGCAAGGGGAGACCACATGGTGCCATTGAATCAGAGCGAGAGGGCTGCAACGCTCTCGCCTGTAGCGGAAAGTTGGAGTGAGCTGTCGAGGGTTGATCGAGAAACGCCCATTCGAGAGCAGCATGCGGACCTCTCGATTAAAGCGCAAGTGGAAAGCCACATGAAAGCTTCACAAGTGTTGTCGAAGTACTACGACGAATCGGCGAAGAAGCGCGCTTTTGAAGTAGGAAATCAGGTAGTGCTGCTGCGGCCGTTCAAAAGGAACAAGCTTGAGATTCATTGGGAAGGGCCCGCCAAAGTATTATCTAAGCTTTCCGATACGAATTATGAAGTGAAATTAAGAAGGCGGCCGAACAAAATTTACCACAGTAACATGAAAGCAGTCGTAAATCTGCTTTTGAATGCTTCAGAGGAAGAGGGAGCAGAAATTTTTAGTTCTAGTGAGGTAATCGGAAGGGAATCGGAGGTAATCTTGGAGCAGTTCAACCTAGAGCATAGGTCAAGTGAAGTCCAAAAGGAGGACCCGAGAAAGATTGTTTCCAAGATTGGAGACGTGTGTTCGGACCGTCCCGGAAACACGAAGGTGATCGAACACGATGTCAAGCTAACTTGTGAGGAGCCAATCCCTAGCAAGCCGTATCGTTGTTCCCCTCTGCAACGTCGCAAGTATGAGCCGCTCTTTGTACCGCATAGGTATCGTCGCCTAAAAGTGGCGGGTTACTGAGATGGAGCATGATGCTCCAACAGCACAACTTTGACGTTAACTACAAAAAAAGGAAAGCTATACACTAATGCAGGTGCATTGAGCACTGCGTTCTAGCTTGTACCTTCTCAACCTTTCGGTTTCTCGCTGGCGATTCGGGGCAAAATTTTGACCTCATCACGACCTGGGCTGAGCGCTCTCGTCCAGAATGAGCTCAAGGGGCCAACTTTATGTGGTACTTTAATAGACCGATCCCACCAGCCGATCAGCGCATGCGCCGGTTTTCCGGAGTTGCTCCGCCGCCATCTTAGTTGTAGTCAATCGGTCAACCAGACTACAGCGACTACGCAGTGGCCGCCGCTTTTTCAGTACTGCGCCGGAGCTTCGCGGACGTCTCTCCGATTTCACCAGCAAGAAAAAGTCGTCATGTGAGTATTTTCAATACCTACATTGTCTGTTAATGGGAGCAGGCGGCGCGAATTTCGGTCATAAGTGCCTGCTACTCCTTCGTTTCGGCGGGACTTAGGACAGCCACCCGTTCATTGCCTGTTGAGTACCGTTTTCATTTGAGTGATGTATGTAAGCGGTTGTTCTGCGCGACTGTTTTTTTCGCATGTGCATCTCGGGGATTGCAACGTTTGTTTGCACAGTGACGTGCTGTTGGGGACAGGCTTTATATGCGGCGCCGAACCTTTCGTGTCTTACGGCACTTACGTGCACGAGTGTCGCGTTCAACATACAGCATTTGGTAGTAATAATATTTGAAATTCTTAATTTGGGTGGCGTTCTGATTTTAGTCCACCGAACGACGCGGTCGCTATATTTTGAAAACTCTTGACATTGTAGCGTCCCATGTTTCGCGCACGTGAATATGCAAACGCGCCGCTCTCCATTAGCAGCTGTGATACGCATTCATCAGTCATTCGCACTTGTCGGTTGAGCCGCATGTAAGGATACGGAGCCAACAAGGGACGTTATCTTACCCTGATAACTAGTGCTGTCTTTTTATTGCCTTTGGTATATAGTTCCGAAATAAAGAAAGGGGAACGTAGTAACCATACCAAAGGCGAAAATGATCCAGACTTCGCTGGTTATCAGCGTCAGATATCGTTTATTTTATGTGTTGGCGACGGTCGTGGTGAGGGACTTCTGGTGTCGAATCTCTCCCTGCCTCCCCCCCCAAAAGAAAGGAAGCATGGGCAATAGCTTTCGCATGCCAAGCCGCCGCAGCGCCATCACCTAATATCGCTGGTTACGCCAGTGGCTATCAGCAGGCTGTGCTGCACGTATCGAAAGCCACGCGTTCGTGCGTTGTTAACAGTATTTACCTCTGTACATGCAGTTACCAGAGAGCTGCAGGTTCGTGTGGTTGGAGGACGGCATCGCCTAGAAAACTGCATTCTTGCGGTACAGTAATGCATTGGCTGCATTTTTAAATAATCAATATTCTTTTCATGGATTGCGTTTTTATTATGGCTTTTGTCGTGGTCCTGCGTTATTTCATTGCAGTTATTTTTTTTTCGTTGTTATAGCCCTGTTGTTTATGGTCTTTGTAATTTCTACTTCGCTAAGCTTTTTTCTCTTAAGAGTATTTACTGTGTGCAGTATGTGCAACAGTGAAGATTATCTCAGCACTAGTAAAGTGCAGTCCCTGTCATGGGATTACTATCATGTGACTACAGATTTGGTACTGGTAAGGTCCTGAAAACAGGGCGAGCGATTTCTTCTCTTTTCTTCTCATGAGAACTACTGCTGCGTTTCATTGTTTTTTGTGCTTTTTTGCATGATTCTACCACACCAACTAGTCCACACGTCGTTACTACTACTCATCGGGTACGAGCGTCATGCAGTGGAGGCATATTATGTTATTAATACGTGCAGCTGGTTCATTGGCCTGGCTTCTGCGTGGACAACGGGCACCGACTGTCTGACACTGCCCGGGGTTCTTTTATAGAGTACGCAGCATGCAGATGTTTGTATGTTCCACCAATAGAGGGTAACGCCCTGATAAAAATATGTAATCTAAGAAAGTGTATTGGCTTAGCAGAAAGTTTACCTGGCTATGTTCAGATTAAACTAACCTTCAGGCTCTGTTTTTTTTTTTGCAGCTCCGTGTAATGCTGTGCCATGGGATCTGTATTACACAACCACAACAGTCAAGGGTGGACCTGCAAAACAAGCTCCCTGAACCCATACTTTGGAAAGGAGCACATTGTCAGGTATGCAAACTTAACTCGGCAGTCATGATTCTCTAAAACTGATGAGTGCTATTTGGGAAAAAAAGAGCATGCTGACACCCAGATGTTTCAGAAAGTGTAACGTTTCTTGAACTATTCCTAGTGCCACAAAGCTCTACCCATCTTGTAGGCTCTGTAGTATGCAAAAATTCTTCTCTTTATTAAAGTGGTACGCTACAGGCTCAGTAACTTTGTTGATTGTGTGGTTTAATCCGCCGATGCAATGCAGGCATGAGGCGCGCCGTAGTGGAGGGCTCCGTATTAATTTTGACCACCTGGGGATTTTATCGTGCGCCGGAATATTGAAAACACAGGCGTTATTGCTTTTCACCTCCATCAGAAAAGCGGCCGCCGCGGCCGAGAATCGAACCTGCATTCTCTCCCTCAGCAGCACAACGCCTTAGGCACTGAGCAACCGCGGCGGGTCTGAGTAACTTTGTGTTTAGCTGGAAAATAACGCCATTTGTAGCTTTCTCAGCTTTTATTCAATGACCAACAACTCTTGATTGCTGAGAAATGAATAATTAAAGCTGGCATTTCTCTCCTCCATTCCCCTCACATTATTTCGTGAAGTTTCAGACCACGTAACAAAGCGCCCAGATCGAGTCGAGCCCGACTTTACTCGATCGTCCCCATCTTCCTGAAAGTTTGTTCTCGCCGGCTATTACTTCCGTCGCTCCCAATCACAAAGTCAACAGTGTGCCGTGTGTTTCCGACAAAGTTCCACTGATTCCCATCCGAATACGTGCCAACTAGCGCAGCTCCCAACCATTTTGCTGTTACAATTTGAGGTCACTTTAAAATGAAGTTTTTTACATATCTGATTGCAGTAGACAGTCTTCTTAAATTTAGTTTTAGTTCTATATCTTCAGAACTTGCACAATGGACAAAAAGTGGGAGTGTGCAAATTTGTGTAGGGAATGAAAAGGTGTTTATGCACAGGAATGTACTCATGCCAACTGTTCTAGCCAAGTACAATTACAAAAATTTCTTCAGCTGTTTCTGCAGGCCTGAAAGTGGGATTATTTTTATTATGCAACAGTTAACTAAAGGGTGGAATGTGTAAATGTATATTCTGGAAGGAAAAAGTCCTGCACAGCATGTAAACGTGAACGTTTATTCTTCATGCAGGTACACTGAAAGTAAAGGCGCTAGAAAACATCGAGATGCTGGCCTGCGGCTTTTCACATCAGGCCACCTGCAAAAGTTGGTGTTTTCAACTGAAGACACCGCAGAGACCGTGGTGAAGGCACAAGTTCTGGCATCCATGGCAACACGGACAGTGTACAGTGTTGGGGTGAAGTTGCTTAAGTGTGATGGGGAGCTTGTCAGTGGCAGCTGCTCATGTGTTGCTGGGAAAGGTGGTGTCTGCAAACATGTTTGCTGCGTTTTGTACGGGCTGATGCACATTGCGCAACATGATCTCACTGAAGTACCAAATGCCATTGCATGCACTGAAGGTGAACGGCAGTGGTACAACCCGCGGGATCCAAAAAAAGTGACTGAGCAATTTCAACAGATTGTATTCTCCAAGGACACCACTGAAAAAATCAGTGATGCACCAAGGCTTCACAAAAAACGAGCAGCCTACTCATGCTTGAGAACACAAGACTCGAATCTGTCAACACTGAGCCTCATAAACTTGCATGGAAACTTCAAAGAATGTGGGCTCGATTGCTTCGCAGACGTACTTGAAGCAAATGACTTTCTTCCCGAAAAACAAAGAAAAGTTGAGAGCCCCGCTACCGAAGATGTGGCTGGGCTACCTTTAAGGTGGCTGGAGCGAGCCAAACAGGGGAATGCTTTGCTGTCATACACAGACGAAGAAGTTACAGCCGTAGAGGCAGCCACACGACTGCAAAGTGCTTGCCTTCCTTTGGCATATGTATAGGGAGGGTCTGATCACTGCATCTGTAGCGCATAGAGTTTACACATGGGTCAGGACGTGCCAAACCAAAATGGGGCCGCATGATCCCCGACGTCTCATCGCAGCAGTGGTTGGGAAAAAGAAAGGCAGGGCAACATTTGCCATGAAGAGAGGCCTGCTGTGTGAGCCTGAAGCCAGGAAAGCCTTTCAGGACAAAAATGACAGCCACGTGGAGCTTGAGGTGACTGAAACTGGCCTCTTCCTCTCTCGTCATCACGCTTTTCTAGGTGCAAGCCCAGATGGGCTCGTGAAGTGTAAATGTTGCGCACCACGGCTGCTTGAGATCAAAGTGCCCCTAAAAATTCAAGATTTTGCCAAAAGGCAGTTGCGTGCTGGGGAACTAAAAAAAAGTAGTGGCTATTATACTCAGGTGCAAGTGCAGATGGGTGTGACTGGTCTGAACACCTGCGTGCTGTTTGTTTACAGCAAGGAAGAGTGCCGACAAATCTCCGTGCCATTTGACCAGAGTTTCTTCACGGAATTCATAGAACGTTGCAAATTTTTTACTTCCAGCTACTTGCTTCCCTACATTTCCAGTAACTGGTAAAGTAAAGCTAGAAAATGTTTTCAAGCTTGTGCGTGTGTTCTGTCATACCATAAATACTTCAAGCCAGTAGAAGTAGCCCACCAGAGTTTTGCTTCTGTGCCTGTAAATTGCCTTTTCTACAACAAAGATGTTTATGTATGAGGTTTGTGCATTTTTGTTCTGCGTTAACAAGAACAGTCTACCCTCTTTCTTTGTACATCATTCACGTGCATAACTTGACCACGCTGGGGAAAAATAGTACAAATGAGCGTGAGGCCCTCCAGTGTGAAGCGTCTGTGTGCTTCATGCTAATTTCGCGGAGGCATAGGCTTGCTTATTTATGCCATGAAGCACACGAAACTGCACCACTGGCGTTATTGTTGCTACTAATATTCACACCATTATGGCTTGCGTGCTACTGTAAGGGCCGGCCTTGCTCCAAAACAGCAACTTATGTGGAATTTAAAAAAATTCTCGGGGCACCTAAGCTTGCTTACGTACTGTGGAGGTAAAAAGCCTGGTGATACTTATTAACTGCTTCTTTACTGATAGGGTATTTGTGTTATTTGTGTCTGTCTTCATTGCCACTTTGTTCAATGTAATGTTACATTGACGGGCTCTTTTACTGCTGCATTGTCTGTACTTCTCTTTTCGCCTTCATTTTGAATTAATTCAAGGTGAATTAAACAAGCAGACCGGTAACACATGCCACAGCTTTCCATGAATCAGTGTTTTGTGGGACAGCGAGGCACCTGCTCACGTGTCACTTGGCATGAGCTATTCGAACTTTTATCCCACCACTGCTAATGTGTAGGCCTGTGCTATGATGTGTTGTGACCCGCTTCTTTTATGGCCCTACTTTTTACCCACCACTGCTAGTGTGTAGGCCTGTACTATCATGTGCCTTCTGGCCTGTTTTTTTTTGTTTTCCTGAAGGCCCTACACAGTTTACGGGAAGCACGAAAACAATGTCAAATAAACCACTGTACTGGAGCCCTATGTGGAAAATATTTTTAGACAACTGTTTCTTGCAAAACAGGCGGTTGCAGGCTTCTTGAAATTTACTCGAGCACTGTGTAACGCCGTTTCTTCACAGCTCCATTATCCTCCTGCAGCTGGTTTCTATGCAGGAAATGATACACTCAACATACCTTCAGTTTATCAATGAATGCTGTCACGCATTAAAAGGCTACGTCAGCCTGTTAATTAACCTTTCATGTTTATGTTAAACCACAGCAGACTGGATGGCTGGACACAAGGGGACAATATGGTGATAGCCCATACAAGTATGCTTCTCAATGGGCAGCTATGGCCACGATCACGAGCTTTTACCCTATCGAAATAAATGTATGTACCTATTCATTGACACCGCCAGGCATGGGTTCACTTCGATTTTAATGGAAAGCATCAAAACGTGCCGCTGTTTGAAATGGTGACAGAGATGAAGAGAGTATGGCTATTGCATAATGCACGTTCATGACAGTACAGGTAGCAATGTGTTATGACAACAAAAAAGAAAAGGGGGGTCAATGCAGACAACACATCTTTTCGTGCAAGTAAACGTAGTTCTCAAGAAATTTAGAGAATAAGGGAATGACCAAGTAAACAAAGCAAATAAACTGAATACAAAACCTAGGCAGGGACATTTCTTATGATGCTTGAATGTGCACGGGAAGGATACGGCTCTTCGTACGTGCCCTCCTGAAGGGATTGGGTTGTTCCTTGTTTTGGGCTAAGGTGAATAAAAAAGCTTGGAGAGACGGTGAGCAGTTCCTAGAACAGGCACAATGGCCTATATCCTTCCCATTTCTGGCTGTGTTGCATGGCCAAAAAAGTAGTCAAATGTAGTGCAAGCGAACTGGCGCAGCCTATCAGCAGACATGCAGACTTCACTCACATCTGCTCACAGCAATGGCTCACCCACAAAGTTTGTCAAGCGTGCGCAAACATGCCACACCTTGTTCAGTTGTCCAGACATGCTGTTTGGAAACACCTGTGAGAGTATTCTGTAGGTCTTTATCCTCCGAATGACCCTTTCCACATGTATGCGCACACTGGCAATAAGCCTTGTCTCAGTTTCATCTGCTTCAGACAGTTGAGGCCGTCCTTCCATGAATGGCGGAATGTTCAAGTGCAGTGAAAAGTTCCTTGCACTCTTCTTCGATGGTGAACCCCCTATCAGCCATCAAACTTCGCCCTGGTGAGAACTTTTCCAACACACCGGAAGCCTTTGTTAGGGCCTTGTCAGACAGCCTCCCAGGAGAAAGATCGGACACGAACATAACAAAGCCGTTCGGGCTGCACACAACTAACCCTTTTGCAGTATTGTGCTTT